GGTATATTATTCAGTATTAGGGTCCTGACTAAATCGTAAGAATTGCCCTGAGGGTTTGGGGCCCCCTTGGTCTGTTGGTGGTGTTTCTTCTTCTTCTTCTGCTGCTGCTGCTGCAGCAGGAGGAGGAGGAGGAGGGAATAGCTGCTGCTGCTGCTGCTGCTGCTGCTGCTGGTGGTTGTTGTTATCTGGTGATGGATCTGCTGCAGCAGCAGCAGCAGATGCTCTCCTTAATAAGAAAGGAGAGACACAAAACCCTGGTAAACCTAACCAGGTAGCGCATGCAGTATTTGCTGCTGTTAGGGCCCCAAACCCTTGCAGCTGGGGCCCCAATATATCTATTGAGGATACCTATATATATATATATATAAATATACACATATAAACCCTAAACCCTAAACCCTAAACCCTAAACCCTAAACCCTAATAAACCCTAATAAACCCTAATAAACCCTAATTAACAATTATAAACCCTAATAACACAATCATAAATAATAGTAAACCCTTTAGTATCCATATATTATAATAAACCCTAAACCCTCATGCTGCAGCATATATATATACAAACCCTATAAACCCTAAACCCTAAACCCTAAACCCTAAACCCTAAACCCTAATTACCTTATAATGATTTTTAGGGGTTCGTCTATTCCAATTCGCCCTGCGGCTGCGCGTCTTTGCATGCGAAGTCCTCTTCTTGGGTACTGCTGCTAAATGGGTTAATTGGGGGCCCCCCTGGGGGCCCCTTGGGGGGCCCCACAGGGGGCCCCTCAAGATGGTGGGCCCCACAAGAGGAGCAGCAGCAGATTTGCTGCTGTTGTTTAGATATAAAGAAGAAACCCTAATTGGATGAATAAAGGAATAAGAATACGTAACCTGCTGCTGCTGCTGCTGCTGCTGTTCTTGCTGCTGCTGCTGTTGCTGCAGTGGTTGCAGCAGCAGAGCGCCGAAGGAACGCCGCACAAGAGATGCTGCTGCTGCACTGAAGGGCACAAACAACTGCAGCAGCAGCAGCAGCAGCAGCAGCAAGAAAGCCCGCAGCACTGCGGCTGCTGACTGCATGAAGCTACAGCAGCAGCAGCAAAAGCAGCAGCAACAGAAGAAGAGTTAGCAGCAGCACCAGCAGCAGACAGAGAAGAACGAATAGACAGAGCAGACACTGAACGCCAACAGCTGCTGTTGCTGCTGCTGCTATTGCTGCTGCTGCTGCTGCTGTTGTTGCTGCTGCTGCTGTTGCTGTTGCTTGTACGTATCTATCCTCAAATCAGCACCTTCTGTTGCTGTTTTGCTCCTGCTGCTTTTGCTGCTGCAGTTGCTGCTTCAATAGTTGTTGCTTGCTGCTGCTGCTGCTGCTGCTGCTACGCATGCGCAGTAATATCTGCGGTGTATGTATAGGTCTTATTTAATTAATATAAATAAATTTAATTATATATTTATTTATTTATTTATTTATTTATTTTATTTATTTTATTTTGCTGCTGCTTCCTTTAAAGCCCCGTCTGCTGTCTGCCTACCGGCAGCAGCAGCAGCAGCAGCAGCAGCAGCAGCAGCATGCAGCAGTAGCTGCTGCTGCTAAACAGCAAATAAATAATATAATAATTAATATAAATATATTTAATAATATTTAATTAATTTATTTTCTTTTTTCTTTTTATTTTTATTAAATAAAAAAAAAAACAAATAATAAATAAAAGTAATAAATTACCCCTATAGTACCATAGAAACCCTCAATTAGGGTTTAGGGTTTAGGGTTTATTAGGGTCTAGTTATTAGGGTTTAGGGTTTGTTGTCTATATAGAGTTTAGTGTTTGCTGTCTATTGTTTATGACGGGCTTTTTGTCTAGAGGGTTTAGGGTTTATTGCTTATTTGTTGCTGTCTAGGGTTTAGGGTTTAGACTCTCTAGGGTTTAGGTTTAGGGTTTAGGCTCTCTAGGGTTTAGGGTTTAGGGTTATATATGAAGTAGATAAAGAAGTTTCTTTTTTTTTTATTAAATAAATAAAATAAATAAATAAATAATAAAAAACAAATATATTATTATTTGTTGCTGCATCTGCTGCTAAAATTGCTGCTGCAGTTGCTGCTGCTGCTGCTGCTGCTGCTGCTGCTGCTGCAGTTGCTGCTGGACTTGTTGTTGTATAAGTTTCTCAATATCATCATCATCTTTTTCCCATTCCTGTCTGAGCAATTCCTCTTGCTGCTGCTGTCCTTGCTGCTGCTGCTGCTGTCCTTGCTGCTGCTGTCCTTGCTGCTGCTGTTGCTGTCCTTGCTGCTGCTGCTGCTGCTGCTGCTCTTCCTTAATAAAAGAAAATACTTTATATAAAGAAAATACAACTTCTTGTTGGGGAGAAAGAAGAATATTCTTTTTTTTGCGATTATTTAGCCATCTAATAGTATCTTGTTGTAATTGTATCCTATCTGCTGCTGCTGCTGCTGCTGCTGCTGCTGCTGCTGCTGCTGCTGCTGCTGTTGCTGCTGTTGCTGCTGTTGCTGCAGGAGGAATAGGTGTAGATGCAGCAATAGATAGATAATTAGGAAAAGATAATGATAATATACAACGTAAATTAAAATATTTATATGCATGCATGCATAAGGAAGAAAAAGGAAGAATATATTCTTGTGTATTTATTGTATTTCTTAGATAAAAATGATATTTATATCCATATATATATCTTAATTTATTTATTATTATTAATTTTATCTTATTTATCTCTTCTTCTTCTTTTATATCTTTTCTTATTATATTATATATTGTTTCTCCTTCTTCTGTTACTGCAGCAGCAACAGCAACAGCAGCAACAGCAGCAACAGCAGCAGCAACAGCAGAAACAGCAGCAGAATTATTCATTATATAAGAACAACAGCAACAGCAGCAGAAGAACAAGACATGATACAACAACAACAACAACAACAACAACAACAGCAGCAGCAGCAGGAGCAGCAGGAGCAGCAGGAGCAGCAGCAGCAGCAGCAGCAGGAGCTTACCGTGAGGAGGAGGAAGTATATAAGGATGAAGTATTTGTTGCAGTGTATCCTCATAAAAAAAGAGAGAAAAAAGAGAATTACCTGTAAAAAATATTCTTTTTTTTGTTGTTGTTGCTGCATGCAATAGCTGTATATACACCTGAATTTGTTCATCATTAGGATTATTATATTGCTGCAGCAGCAGATCTATATGCTGCTGCTGCAGTTGCTGCAGTCTTAGTATATGCTTACTTATTTCCCTGCAGCAAACAGTACTACCTATTAATTTACCTCCTGTATATAATACGCTGCTGCAGCGCTGCAGCAGCAGCAGCATTTGCTGCTTATTGCATGCAATATAATGTATAGCTAGCTGTATAGACACCGCATTATACATCTCTCTTCTTATTAATCGCCATATCCTCTCCTCTCTTATATCCCCTACATGGTACTCAGGTGCATGCAGCAGCTGCTGCAGCAAACCTTGCTGCATGCGCTCTCTTACGCGCTGACGCGCCTCTAGTATTGAATCACGAGAAAAATCTATACCTGCAGCAGCAGCAGCAGCAGCAGCAGCAGCAGCAGCAGCAGCAGCAGCAGGTGGTGGTGGTGTAGTGGTGGTGGGGTAGAAGCAGCAGCAGCAGCAGCAGCAGCAAAAAAAGAGGAAGAGGACGAGCAGCATACAAGGAAGGAGACAAAGGAGACAAAAAAAAGAGACAAAAAAAAGAGACAAAAAAGGAGACAAAAAAGGAGACAAAAAAGGAGACAAAAAGGAGAAAAAAAAGGAGAAAAAAAAGGAGACAAAAAGGAGAAAAAAAAGGAGGCAAAAAAGGAGAAAAAAAAGGAGAAAAAAAAGGAGACACAAATAGGAAGAAAAGGGTAAAAAAGGTATAAAAAGAGACAAAAAAGAGGAGAAAAAAATAAATAAATAAGATAAATAAAATAAATAAATAAACTAAATAAATAAATAAATAAATAAATAAATAAATAAATAAATAAATAAATAAATTACCTAATAATCTTGTTACTTTTATTTCTGCATATTTAATTAAATCTTGTGCATGCCCGCATGCAAGATCTAATATACGCATATTCTTACATAACTCCATCTTTATTAATATTCTTTTTACCTATAAATAAATAAATAAATTAATTAATTAATTAATTAATTAATTAATTAATTAATTAATTAATTAATTAATTAATTAATTAATTAGT